TAAAGTCCTCCCAGTCTCACTAACCCAGCTGTCAAATGGTATCCAAGACCAACTTGATCGTTCTAGCTTGGGAGCTAACCCCTGCAAACTCAATTTTCAGAGGGTTGTTATTTGTTCTCTGGCTGAGGTGAGCCTCGCTTTTCATAGGAAAAAGAGAACCAGTCCTTACTTCTACTTGTGGACCACTTAGGGTTTTGTCTTTAGTCACAGAAATTATTTTCAAGAAGAGACAGTAAAATAGAAGAGGGTTTTAAAACAGTTTTTGCTTTTTTAGTTTTGTTTTTGGGCCACTGAGATGAATCTCAGGAGTTACTCCTGGCTCTAAACTCAGGAATTACTTCTGGCAGTGCTCAGGGGATTTATATGAAATGCCTAGGATCAAACCTGGGTTGGCTGTGTGTAACGCAAGTGCCCTACCTGCTATACTATCACTACAGCCCCAGAAGAATTTTATTAATGAAGGATATAAATCCAGAGTGGATAAGAGCTTCTCTGAAGAGAGAGGAAATCCCCTAAATTAAAGGAAAGTGATTACACAACAACAACAACAAACAACATGGGAGTCCCTGCATTGCTTTGTGGATAAAAAGTTAAATATATAGGACATTTATGGGTTTTTGTTTTGCTTTATTTCATTTGTTTGTTTCTTGGAGGGGCACTCCCAGGGCTGTTCAGGCTTCCTTCTGGCTCTGAGCTTCTGGCAGTGATGTAAGGATCATATAATGATGCTGGGGGATTGCAACCAGGCCAGCTATGTGCAAGGCATGTGCCCTTCTGGGTGGGATCACTTTGACCCGATTACATGGGACATTTTCAAAGCATCCTTAGCTTGGCTTCTCCTTGTTAGGATAAGGGCTTTTGATATTGGCGATTTCTTCATTTAGCCTTATTATGACATTTTGCTGCCAACATCAGGCAGACAGTGTTGTCCTGGGCCATCATTAGTCACTGGCAGGTGGCCACAGTACCGTTGGTTAGTTATCTCAAGGGAAGCTTGCCTTCCTATTGAGCTGGCTGATCTGCCAGCAAGATGATTCCTTTTGAGACAAAATATCACCTCTCTAAACATTTCTTGGTTTTAGAGCTGTTTGAGAATAGAATACAGAACACTGCTCTTGGAACAATTTCTCCTTGAGAAAGCCATTTACATTTATGCTTATCCCAAACAAAAGCTCTCTAACCCTGATAGCTCAAGATAGTTAGGCACCTGCCCACAGAATGTTATTCTTCTCCTTTTAATGACTCCTCATTCTAAGCAGAGAATGCTCTATGTGGAAGACTGCCGGGTCTCAATCCAGAGACAGTGAGCCCCCTGTCTATTGCTTTTTCTCTCTTATTCCTGTCTCTTAGTTCTCATGGTGGCCCTGCTTCAGAATTGTCCACCCAGGGCTGGTCCCTGGCATAGGGCTTCTAGAAATTTCCTGCCAAATCCCATCCCACACTTGGAAGTCTACCTCACATCAGCCCATAAAGATAATATGATTGTAACATTAGTCAGTCTTTGAATAGAAGTCAACTATTCAATTTCATCATAGTATATTAGTTATGTTTGCAGATAATTGTATAGTAATAAGTTAGGAGACATTATTCAGGGGACATTATTAAAGGAAGAATGGAGAAAAGGGCGGTTGATACTGTCCTTGTCACTCTAGTCTATAGCCAACTCCCAACACTGGACACATTTGTATTTATTTTGTTGTACCTGGGTTTTCAGTTCTAGGCATGAAGGAACAGAGAATCAGAGAGACAGCAATGCAAGTGCAAAGGAGTTTTATTCCAGTTAACTGGGGTCAGCTATCTCACCCACAAAGTGGTCTCTTGATAGAGACCCTCACTTACAAATGCAGTTTATGTAGGTTTTGGTTACATAAGCATGACAATGTCCATTACATAACATTTTTTCCAAGAACTGACAGGCTTTTTCTAACATGGTTATGGCTGGGTGTTGGGTAGGGGGCTTTGTTGACTGGGTCAGGCCACCTGCCAGGCTTGGGGTTTTCATCTAGGCCAGGCCAGTTCAGGGTTTTCTATCTAGGTCACGCTTAGCTTTCCCTCGCCTGTGGTTTTTAGGCTGTTAGTTTTGTTAGTACAGGTCTCTGTTCTCCAGGAAATGGAAACTAGGGCCTAGCTAGCTTCTTAGCTTAAGGGAAGCTTGTCATGGTGGCATCTGTGCCCTCACAACTTCTGATTTCTGATTCCTATATGTTTTGTAAGTTTGTTTGGGGCAGCTTAAACACCAAATGAAGTTCACTTTATAATTTCATGGTGCAGTGGTATGTGAGGATCAGGAATGGAATTTTTTGCCTCCAATATGTGAAGAAAACTATTTGGAAACATCTTCAATATTTGTCAATAGTTGAGAAATTGACTTCAAAGATTATACAGTGATTTGACTTGTCAATTGAGGGTTGGAGACTATCATTTAGAGTACAAAGATATTAATTTTGCGTAGATTGTTTTCCTTTTAAGGTTAGAATATTTCCAGTATTTAGAATAATCCAACTAAAGAGTGAATACTAAATATCTTTTGCCCCCAAACCCTTCTTGAATTACTGAAAGGTGAAACCTAGTGGCCACAGCCTTGAAAGTACAGCAGAGACCACAAAAAATAGGAGATAAAATAATGAAAGATACTACAGGAAACCACAAAAAGATTCTGCAAACGAGATGTGTGGTGGATAAAAATGTTGATTTTGCTGCCAACATCAGGTAGACAGTGTTGTCCTGGGCCATCATTAGTCACTGGCAGGTGGCCACAGTACCCTAAGAGTTCACAAGAAACACAACTGGAATTTTCAGAACTACTTCAGGGACACTGGTGCTCCTTTAAAGATGCTGTAGTCAGAATCAGAAAAATACCACTATTTCTATAGAACCTATAGTTGTTTTGGTACACTAAACTGCTATATTTGTCAAAGCACTGTAGCACTGTTCTCCCGTTGTTCATCAATTTTCTTGAGCGAGCATCAGTAACGTCTCCATTGTGAGACTTGTTGTTACTGTTTTTGGCATATCTAATATGCCATGGGGAGCTTGCCAGGCTCTGCCATGTGGGCCGGATACTCTTGGTAGCTTGCTGGGTTCTCTGAGAGGAATTGAACCCGAGTCAGCCACGTGCAAGGCAAACACCCTACTACAAAGTAATTTTTTAGGAAGTGTTAGAGTCCAGAATTGGTCAATTCAATTCCCCTCAAGGACAAAGAACAGAACAGATAGTGCAAACCACATAGTGAGGATTATTGTTCCAGCTAGCTGGCGTCCAAGTATCTACCTGGCTTAGTAGGCTTCAACAAGTACCCCGAGCACTAGGTTCAACAAGTTCTTATACTTTCATTTTGACAAGTAAGAATTACTCAGAAAATTTCTATTACCTACAGACTGCACATATATTTTGTTGTTGTTGTTGTTGTTGTTGTTGTTATTGTTGTTGCTTTGGTCCACAACATCTAGCCCACCTCCCTGACAGTTACATTCTGTAAGCCTAACCTCATACTGGTGATGTCATCTTTGACAAAACCATCTGTCTTTTTCTGCTTTTCTTGTTCCTGAAAGAGACCTAAGTCACTCAGAGCCTGTATGGCAGTTCTTGGACTAAGTGGGTCCCTAGAGAAGAAAACTTATTTTTAAAATATTTCCTGATGTGATTCTTGGGGGTATATTGTATATTACTGGTACTTGTATTCCCGTTGTTTGTCGATTTGCTCGAGCGGGCCTAGTAACGTCTCCATTGGAGACTTTGTTGTTACTGTGTTTGGCATATCGAATGCATCACGGGCAGCTTGCCAGGCTCTGCCGTGATATTGTATATTAAAGGATTTTAAAACATCTTTATTGGAGCTGGAAATATTGTACTAGAAAGTAAGGCACTTGCTTTATTCAATCTCTGGAGCTGCATCAGTTTACTGAGCACCACCAGGAGTGATCCCTGAGCATCACTGGGTGTGCCCACAAACAAAAAAAAGCTTCTTCATTGACTTAATATAACTTATTTGAGTTTTATTCAATCCTATTTTAGATTTTTGATATAATATAATATGGGCTGGAGCGAGAGCACAGCGGTAGGGCATTTGCCTTACAAGCGGCCAACATGGCCTACCCGAGTTCGATTCCTCCTCCTCTGTCAGAGAGCCCAGCAAGCTAACGAGTGTATCTTGCCCGCACGGCAGAGCCTGGCAAGCTACCCATGACGTATTCGATATGCCAAACACAGTAACAACAGGTCTCATGATGGAGATGTTACTGGGCCCGCTGGAGCAAATCAATGAACAACGGGAGGACCCCGTGACCGAATATAATATATGCTATTGTACTAACTTGCCAGGCTCTGCCTTGAGGGCAGGATATCCTCGGTAGCTTGCTGGGCTCTCTGGGGTGGGGGAAATGGAGGCTTTGGGGGAGCTCTCTAATTGCCCATGCAGGTGTTCCCAGTCTACCAAACGTAAGCTCTGGGTGACCGGCCTACTGTAAAAATTTGCATACTGACAACACGCACCTGCCGGCTTCTCTGGTCAGTGCCTGGGGCATCTGCAACCTTAGGTTGATCTCCTTGAGGTGGATGGAGTGCACCGGTGGTTGTCGAATAGCTGGCAGAGCAAGACCCTGGCATAGGGTCTGTGCCAGGTTGAACACCTGTGCTGAGTCCCAAGTCATTTGGTGGTTGGTGGAGAGCGTCCTGGAGTGGATAAACCATTGCGCACACTACTGTCACTGTTCCATGCTCAATGGTGTTGTGACTTGGCCCGGCTGGGAGAGGTGGTTTGTATAATGACTGGCCTAAAACTACCGCCGCAGTTTTTCCTCACTCTGCTGATGCCATTTTGTCTTAATCCCACAAAGCAGCTGGTAATGTCCAGCAGGAATCATGCGCAGAGTTCCAGCAGGGATCACATGTGAAATTCCATACCTGGCGTGCTGAGTTGCACGTCATTCAGACTGAGATCGTGAGCCGGGTTTGGGAGAGCGCGAGAAGTTCGACCAACATTGGTGCCTTTTTTGCCTCCATGACTACTAAATATGCCAACAGCTCTGGGACCCTGGGCCACCCACCATTTTTGAGCCTCTTCCTATTCGTCCCCAACACCGTGCTGGTTTTCTCCTTCTCCCAGGCCAGTCATTATTCAAACCTGGGACTCCGCTTTCCCTGTGCACGCGCCCCAGGTATCCTCTGGGACCCTGAGCTGCCCACAATCCCTGAACTTCTTCCTGTTTATCCCCAATGCTGCACAAGGTTTTCTCCTTCTCCCAGGCTGTACCCCTCACACATACCAGGTACCCGTAGGGGCGTGGCTTCCACAGAAATGGGTGTGCCCTCTGCAGAGGTAGGCGTGGTCTCTGCGGAAATGGGCGTGGCCAAAATACAAAGAGTCTACAGAATGGGAAAGGCTATTCTCCCAATACCCATCTGACATGGGGTTGATATCAAGGATATACAAAGCACTAGTTGAACTCCACAAGAAGAAAACATCCATATCCCATCAAAAAATGGGGCAACAAAATTAACAGAAATTTTCTCAAAGAAGAAATCTGAATGGCTAAAAGGCACATGAGAAAATGTTCTACATCACTAATCATCAGGGAGATGCAGATTAAAACAACAATGAGATATCATCTCACACCTCAGAGACTGACCCACATCCAAACTAACAAAAGCAACCAGTGTTGGCGCGGATGTGGAGAGAAAGGGACCCTCCTTCACTGCTGGTGGGAATGCCAACTGGTTCAGCTCTTTTGGAAAACAGTATGGAAAATTCTCAAAAATCTAGAAATTGAGCTCCCATTTGACCCAGCAATACCACTCCTGGGAATACATGCCAGAGAGGCAAAAAAGTACAATTGAAATGACATCTGCATTTCTATGTTCATTGCTGCACTGTTCACAATAGTCCAAATTTGGAAAAAACCTGAGTGCCTGAGAACAGATGACTGGTTAAAGAAACTTTGGTACATCTACACAATGGAATATTATGCAGCTGTTGGAAAAGATGAAGTCATGAAATTAACATACAAGTGGTTCTACGTGGAAAGTATAATGCTAAGTGAAATGAGGCAGAAAGAGAGGGACAGACATAAAAAAAATTACACTCATCTGGGGAATATAAAGTAATAGAATGGGAATCGAACACCCGAGAATAGTTGAGATAAGTACCAAAAGGTCTGCTCCACAGCTTGGAAGCTGGTAGCACATGCTGGGGGCGGAAACACAGCTCAGATAGAGAAGGGAACACCAAGTAAAGGATGTTTGGAGGACTTGCTCGGGAAGTGAGATGTGTGCTGAAAGTAGACTATAGACCGAATTCCATGGGCACTCAATAGTTCTATTGCAAACTACAACACACTAAAGGAAAGAGTGAACAAAATGGAATGCCCTGCCACAGAGTCAGGGCGGGGGGCCGGGGGTGAAGGGTTACTGAGATCATTGGTAGTGTAGAATGGGCACTGGTAGAGGAATGGGTACTTTATCATTGTGTAACTGAAACTCAAGCACGAAAGTTTGCAAGTCTACAACTGTACCTCATGGTGTTTCACTGAAAAAAAAAAAACCCTGAATAAATAAATAAATAAATAAATATGCCAACAACAGTAGCAAAAATGGGTCTCATTTCCCTAACCCTGAAGGAGTCTCCAGCTGCACCAACGCAGCCAAGGCAGTCAGCAAGAGCAAGAGCATGGGTGGCACCAGTCATGGGTGGCATGAAATAGCTGCACTGCTGCTGGCCCAACATTGTGGTGCTGTGCGAGTTCCGCCACTACTAGAAATCCAATGAGCTGATCATCCGCAAGCTACGGTTCCAGCGGCTGGTGCGCGAGATTATGCAGGACTTCAGGACCAAACTGCGCTCCCAGAACTTGGCTGTCTTGGTGCTGCATGAGGCTTGTGAGGCCTACCTGGTAGGGCTCTTCGAGGTTACCACATTATGCACCATCCATGCCAAGCGTGTCACCATTATGTCCAAGGACATCCAGCCGGCATGCCGCATCCATGGAGAAAGGACATAAAGTTTACGATGCTAAAATATCAGGGCTGGGACAAATGGAGATGCTTCTGCCGTCCGCTCGAGCAAATCAATGATTAACAGGATGACAATGTTACAGTGCATTGTAGTAACACTTTGTTAGTCAAAAATAATTACAAAAATCTAAGAAATAAAATGAAGGCAAAATAAAAATCATAATCAATTAGCTCATAAAGTGTAGATTTCAGATACTTAAAGATTAATTAATAATGCTACCATCTCCTTTTTCCTCTTTCTTTCATTCTCTCTCTCACACATACACAAACTTTGTATAGGAAGTTTCAAAGTTGTTTAAGAACATTTCTGAAAAACTTCTGTGTATGTGTGCACACACACATGCATACATGTGTGCATGTGTGTTTATGTCTGTGTGCGTGCATGTACTAGTTTGTTGGTGTGTCTGTGTGCATGCTTGTGTATGTGTGTGCGTGCATGGTTGCACATGTGTTTGCGTGTCTGCGTGTTTGTATGTGTGAGTAATACCAGGCCCTTCGTGAAAATAATTTCTCTTGCATTCCTTGTCTCAGCACCTCCGACTGAATGAATATTCACAACAACATTCTTCTTATAAGCTTAGAATGTTATAAAGAGGCATTAATCAAAGGGGAACAGAAGGACCAGTCAAGCTTAGAATGTTATAAACAGGCATAAATCAAAAGGGGTTAGGAGGACTGGTCAATGGATGGAAGCTTGACACAAGATGTGTGGGCAAAGGGCAGTTAGGATAGGGAAGGGGCCAACAGGACGATAATAATTGGAAATTATTGTTTTGAGCAGGACCTGAGTGTTGAAATTAGGTAAAGGGATATACCTGATAAGCTTTCATTATTTGTATTTAAAACCATAGTCCCAAAAGGAAGAGAGAGAGAGAGAGAGAGAGAGAGAGAGAGAGAGAGAGAGAGAGAGAGAGAGCCTGCCATAGAGGCAGGGATGGGAGCAGAAGGGAAATTGAGGACATGGGTGATGGGAAATGTACACTAGTGAAGGGACGGATATTGGAACATTGTATGACTGAAACCAAATCATGAACAACTTTGTAACTGTATATCACTGTGAATCAATAAACATTTTTCTAAACAAAATATCAAAAGTCTTACATTGCAAGGAAAATTCCAGAGTGAAGAATATGATAAAAAGGAGGTCATGGTTCTCTAAAAATATGCCATTTGTGCACCTGATTCTAAAATAAAACATCAAAGAAGACTTTCCTGAGGTAATAGTTAATAATTTAGAATTTAAAAAATGAATTTGAATGAATTAGAAAGCAGAGAAGGAATGTACCCCTGGCCATGGAAACATATGGCGAGTGTAATTTCAATGGATTAAGAGAAGGCCAGACGGCCCGGATCCTGTCATGTGGCACCCTAAGTCTTAGTTAAAGGGCTTCCGACATCTTGCTTCCAAAAAGCCTCCTTTCACCATGCTGTAAATTATGAATCCCTCCTTTTACTTATACAATTCTGGTTTCAGACATTTCGCTATAGTGGAGCTCGAGCGATAGTACAGCAGGTAGAGCATTTGCCTTGCATGGGCTGACCGGGATTCAATCCAGCAATTCATATGGTCCCCTGAGCACTGCTAGAAGTGATTCCTGAGTGCAGACCCAGGAGTAACTCTCAAGCATCACTGGTTGTGACCCAAAAAGCAAATTTTTTATTTTATTTTTTTTGCTGATAGTATGGGCTGGAGATGTAGCCCAGCAGGTAGGGCATTTGCCTTGCATGGGCTGACCGGGATTCAATCCAGCAATTCATATGACCCCTGAGCACTGCTAGAAGTGATTCCTGAGTGCAGACCCAGGAGTAACTCTCAAGCATCACTGGTTGTGACCCAAAAAGCAAATTTTTTATTTTATTTTTTTTGCTGATAGTATGGGCTGGAGATGTAGCCCAGCGGGTAGGGCATTTGCCTTGCATGCAGCCTACCTGGCAGACCCAGATTCGGTTCCTCCGCCCCTCTTGGAGAGCCTGTCAAACTACGGAGAGTATCTTGCCCGCATGGCAAAGCCTGGCAAGCTACCCATGATGTACTTGATATGCCAAACACAGTAACAACAAGTCTCACAATGGAGACATTCGCTGGAGCAAATTGATGAACAAAGGGAGGAGAGTGCTACAGTGTTACAGTGCTGATAGTATGGAAAATGCCAAATTCCAATGTGTTTGTTGTTTCTGTTGCCTTTGCTTTCCCTTCATTCCTAGAATGTCATCTCCCGGGTCTATAATAACTCCTGGCTGTAGAGACAATTCTGGGACAAAGTGCAGTGGTATTTATTCCGTGAATGAAGACAAAAATACTTTAGGTAGAGAGAGTAGGCAGTAAAGCACGAGGGGTCAGTGTTGTCTGCTGGGGTGAAGGAAGGAGTCAGGACCCTTTTTTGGCTCGGGTCTACAGAGTAGGAAGAGGAAATTTAAAAATTGCTCAGGGGAGAAATGGGTATTTGCAATGAACAGAAACATGAGTGAGCAAATCAGTGATTAATATTTATCCTTCATAGCCAAATAAGGGTTAGCTAAGTGGGAGAGCTCCTCCCTAAGCCAGCAGTCTGGGGCTTTGACGGACACGATGTTCCAGTCTCAGCTCACTTGCTGAGCCAAACACACAAAAGAGTGAGGTGAGGCACATGTCATTTGCTGCTTTCCCGCTGTGCTTCTATTTCTGGGTTAGCTGGGACAGTTCGCTGGAAATGATCTATGGCAAATCCTCTATGTTCTCCAGGATGCAGGCCTGGGAGCCCCTGGATTCTGGAACATCTCACTTTCGCTGATTAAATCCTGCAGCCTGCAGAGAGCCCTGTTGTCTCTGACAAGTACCTTCTGGAAATAAGATGGGGAAGAGGAATTCAAACAGAGCTGTAGGGGGAAAACAAAACCCAAAACAAAACACACTCTTCTGTCCTTGGACTGTGAGAGAGAGAAGCACCACCAAGTCACAGATAAATGAAAAGACAGAGTTTCTCTGATTTTCCCTAAGGTAATGTTCAATAGTATATTACCTAAATTTCCCCTCCTAAGTAAGGAGAACTACTTCTAACGGGAGGGAAGCAATTTGATATTTCTCTTTCTTTCTCCCTCTTCCAAGATCTTTTATTTTTAATTTTAATTTTTTATATTGTATTGAATCACTGTGAGATAGAGCATTACAAAGCTGTTCATGATTGGATTTCAGTCATGCAATGTTTTAATACCCATAACTTGACCAGTGTAACTTCCTAGGACCAGTGTCTCTAGTTTTCCCTCCCACAACCCCTGCCCCCACCACCCTGGGCCAAAGAATCCCACACCCAAGACTGCCTCTATGAAAGGCAACTCTCTTCTCCCTCTTTAATTTATCTTTCTCACTTTAGGCACTAGGGTTTGCAACAAAGATGCTTAAAGGTCATCATGTATATCCCTTTACCTACTTTCAACACTCAGTTCTTGTCCAGAGTGATCATTTCCAGCTAATGTTGTCATAATGGACCCTTCAATATTTTTGTGAGAGCCTGAACTTTCCTCTGACATTCATTCTGTAGCATTTTCCTTGTTGTCCTTGGAAGTTGTCCTTAAACCTTAGAAGGAAAATGGATGAGCAGCCAATGATGATATTAAAGTTTGAAAGAAATGTTGTAAATTCTAATTTTTCAATTAAATTAGATGAAATGAACTGGCCAACAGGCAAAAGCAAGGTTTGGGAGAAATAACAGAGCAAAAGTATTAGGGATTTAAATGGGATGCACAGTGAAAAGGGGAATGAGGGAAATTTTAAGAGGGTTCGCCTTACAAGCGGCCAACATGGCCGACCCGAGTTCGATTCCTCCACCCCTCTCGGAGAGCCCAGCAAGCTACCGAGAGTATTCGATATGCCAAACACAGTAACAACAAAGTCTCCAATGGAGACGTTACTGGGCCCGCTCGAGCAAATCGACGATCAACGGGAGGGCCTTTACCTTTACCTTTTAAGGCATTCTATATATTGAGAGGTATTATAGTTACAGGTAGAAGCATTTGTCAATATATTAAATGGAAGCTCAAGATTCAGGCCTTCTATTTTATGAAATAGTAATCCTAAACAAGAGAGCAGATACAGTCTAGATAATAAATATTGAATTCAAGTCAATGACATGAATACCAGAATATTTATGAATTAATGGAGTTGCCTGTAATTTTTAAAATTGTTTTTATATTATAATGTAGTTCACATTAGACAGAGTGGCATCTTGAACTCCTGAGAAACCTCAATGAGCTTGGTTACTGTGTGGATACGGTCGATTGTGCTGAATCATTTTTGGAACCCGGCTTGCTCACACGGTTGTCCTTCATCTAGTGTTCTGCCAATCCTATTCAGGATGACTTGAGTGAATAACTTGTAGACGACAGAAAACAGGCAAATCGGGCAATAGTTGCAAATGTCATGGATGTTTCCCTTCTTGTACAGTAGTACAGTACTGCTGGTTTTCCATTGGGACAGAACCTTGCATTCAGACAGGTAGTGTGTGAAGAGCCAAGCCAGTGTATTTATGAGTACTGCAGGTTCTTCGGGTGTTTGGGTCTGACCTTGTCTGGGCTGGGTGCTTTTCGCTTCTTTACTGGTAAAATGGCATGTCGTATTTAGGAAGGGAGAATGTTGGGAACGACATATCCATCCTGCAAAATTTGGTATGTGGGCAGGTGGATGTGGCTATCAAAGAGATCCGAGGAGAAGTCATGAATAATCTTTTCCATTGCACTTCTGGAAGATGTGATAGGTCATCAGGACGTTGGAGAGCAGTCATCTTGGTCTTGTAGTTGCTGAAGGACAGGCGGGCATTGGGAATGCTCTTCCCAGCTTCTGCCACATCGGCCAGCTCTGCTAGTCTTCTCTCTTTGAAGTCTTCCTTTACCGCTTTTCTGCACTGCTTTAAGAGCTCAGACATTCGCTTGTGGTTCCCTGAGGCTTGCACCTAGCCACATTGGCGAATGAGCTCAAAGTTCTCAAAGACAGGCATCCTTTTGTGAATAACTC